CAGGCAGTGAAGAAAGGTCTGTGGTGCAGACTTTTAATGTTAATATCTTAATATTATTTTATAGTTAAAAGTAGTGTATTATTAGTGACATTTCTATTTTTCCTGCAATTTGTGATGCTAACTATTAATATTTATTAACTTTATAAGTATTTCTTACTTAAATAATACAAAATGTTGGTCTGGGTACAGACCTCAGGTCTTATAAGTTTCTTAACTCCTAAAAAATAATGTTCCAGGGAAATTTCTTACTATCTATTTTACAATATTCTGAGATCACAGATTAACTACCCAATATCAGAGCTACCCACAGCAAGAGGCACAACTTTGGTAAAAGGCCCAACACATGGGATTGAGGGAATAATGAAATCAAGATTGGTAATTGGCAAATTAGTGAGTGAAAGATGCTCTGGATTTCAGAGGAGAGATCAACCCCCCAGCCCTTCCACCCTGACTCTTCCCAGTCCCCCCACAAACATCCAAGTGTGAATGAGCAGGAATCAATTCTGCCTGCTCAGGTGGGAGCAAAGTTCCATTGATTCTCCGTGGGGTCGAGGAAATCCGAGGGAGTTCAGTATCTCTTGGAATCAACACCTTCCAGTGAGGGATAAAGTCCTCTCTTTCCTGAGGCTGTACCTATTTTCAGCCCCATTTTCTTGATTTGCTCAAGTTATTGCTGCAATTAAGGGCACGAATCGGGGAACTGCAGACAAAGGAAAAGCAGCTTCAAGATTGTATTTATATTTACCATTGAGAGTGACTCATCTCAAGGACTGGCAAGAGTAAACCAGCAGAGCTATATAAAGAAAAATCTGCAGTTCACCTGAGGCTTCCAAGGTGTAACGAGGTTGTTGATACTTGGTATTTTCAAGGTAAGTTAAGCCTTATCCTGGAAAATAATATTAATAGGGCTTGTTCCTTTTCTGTATCCAAAAGGAATTAACAAGTTTGGATTACTTCTGCAGAGGAAAAGCAAAGATGAGAGGGTCAAGCAGAAACAAGACCTTGAACTGAGACAGTCTGGGAAATCTCAGGCTGCAGAGCATTTTCTGAGGAAGGTTTCAATTAACAGAGACATTGACAGGAGTCAAAGCCATGCACTGGAGATGTAAGATGACAAATTC